AAATCTTAAAAAAAAAAGTAAACAAGATACTATTACATAGTTGTGTGTGTATACACGCACATAAATCCATGTGTACACACACATATAAAACAGGTCAAGGTGCTAGGGAAATTGCACAACACTAGGAAACCAACAAATCCAGGTTTTTTCTAATACATGCACACAGTGTTAAGTGACTTTTAAGGGTCACATTTGCAAAATATTTTTTCCCCTAAAAGATGAATTTTTAGGCTTGTGTGTGTGTAATTTACTAGAACTGCACTGCAGAACTCTGATATTCTGAAGCTGTGAATGCTTACTCATGTAGGTTCCTGCTTAACAAAAATAAGTACCAGTGAGTTATATTTGTCACCAAAATCTATGCAGAGAAGACAAATTCAGAACACTGGGAGCTGCCAGCTTTAACTTTTAGCTTGAAGACCATAAAACTGTTCCACCTTCCACCTCATCATCTCACAAAAACAGAGGCCACAGGCAATAAAAGCAAAACACCGGTTCTCTAACTGACACTGGAGCTAGTTAAAAGATTACAGAATTATCTACACTTTGCACAAATTAAAGAGTAACAAAGACTACTGATTTAGGGATAGAATAACTACTGATTAACAACAAAATACCAAAGTTGATATGAAAGAAACAGCTAAGCGTTTTAATGTTTTTGTTTCCATTTTTTAACATCTATCTTTAAAATACTAGGAATACATATCCCCATACATCCCATGGCATAAAATTCACTTTTTAACCTTTCTACTCCTTGAAAAGTCAACTCTGAAAGTAAATACAAGTTATTCAAAAAGCTGCTACATAGAGTGTTGACCTACTATAAACAGCTTCTACTTTGATTTGTTTTGTTTTAACTGGTTACATAAGCATCATGACCACCCATACTGAAATTTTTCACTACTAAACCCCCAGCACCTAGCACCAAGCCTGGCATAAAGACGGTGCTCAAATGTTTTAGGGGGATGAACTTGTTATTGAAACCATCTGAAACCCTAAAGCAGACACCCAGGATTCTCTAAGACTTCACTAATGCCGTTAATGAATTTAGTAAAAGTCACTGCCCCTTTCTAGCACTCTTCAAGCTTTTGCAGGGAAAATTTACATTTCTACCATCCTTTTGAATCCCTGCGTGAGTCATATAAGTACATTTAAAGTGGTGGCATATCCTATTTTAAGTTACTGCAACTCCCTCTGAAAACTTATTATAAAGTTCCAAAATCTCACCAATAACAAATACAGCGTATGCCAAGTCATTATTACCAGGTTCACGTTTCTGATTTAACCTTGAACATTTATTTCTTGTACTCTAAAAGGTCAGGTTTTCCTCTTTTTATCCCCTGAAAATACACTTGATCCTGTAACACTACTCACAAGGCCTCCCCAGCCCCTACTTCTTTTGTATATAAACACACTCTGGTCACACACTCCATCAGCTGTTTGTTAGCTCCGCCCCTCCTCCTTTTCCGGGTAGTAACAGAGCAGCCAATGAGCTGGGAGGAGCTGTGCCTGAGGCCTTTTGCCTGCATACGCTTTTCCAAAACAAGCAGCTCCAGCCTTCAGCAGGGGCCACTGGTTCACAGATAAAAGGATCACCAGGCTGTGCAACAGGGTGAGACTGAGTAACCCCCACCAACAAGGAAACCCGTGTAATCTGAGCTGTTTGTTCCTCCACCAGGGAGAATTTAAACTGATATTCCTTTAGGGCAAATCACGCTTTAAGGTCACCAGAGTCCCAGTTCTCAGACGATCTAAATAATCAGAGATGGAAACCTCAATGCTTGCCAGGCTGGGAACAGCACAGTATAACCAACCTACCTGACTTTGCAAACAAATGGCCACACTATTCACGACCATTGCACAGGATTTGGGCTGACTGTAAGTTTTTTGACTGGGACACATTCCTACAGGGCCCAGAAGTCAGTACATCAGTCTCTAGGCTCCTGGAGAGGTTTGCACAACCCTCAGGAAAGGATCAGAACAGAAACAATGAATGAGTCAGAGTTTCAGAACATAATCGCCCAGCAAATTATTAAGTGCATCGGTGCAAAACACTCACTCCCTGCATAACTTGAGAGTCAGCTCTCCTCCTACCAACCCGTCACAAAAGAAATATCACCGACTCCAAACGACCAGAGACAGTGTCTCCGAAAGAATCTCGCGAGCTGGTGGAAAGCAGTGGCCAATTAGTTACACATCCCCTTCTCTCCCTACCCCCACACCGCTACTTTCCTACTATATAGGTTCCCTGCCAAGCTGTAAATCGTGGTGGCATAATTACACTCAGGAGACAACCAAAAATGGGCTGAAACAGGAGATTGCAATGAAACCAGCTATCGGCCTCCAAACCAAAGAAATCAAGGGGCACTGAGGGGCAAAAAGCAAGTACATTCCTTCAGACCTTCTCTACTTCCTCTCCACCATCTTTCATTTTCAACCCCCGGCACACAATTGTACTAATTTTAATAGTGGGTTGGAAAATTTTTCCTTCAATTTTTTGCTAAATATACCTTGCTCAAAAATTAGTGGCTCCATTTGGGCCTACTAATACGAATTCAACAGAGAAAAGAGGCCACAAAATCTCTCATCCCCACAACACACATGCACACACAAAAGGAAATACAAAAATTTTAACTTCCAAACTACATGAGACCAGAAAATAACAAATATGAAACAAAGATAACCTCTGGCTTTTAAGTCCCGAGACTGTTGTCCTCCTATCTCAGAGATCTATGATTTTAAAGCGCCTCTGCTTTCTTTTGTCAGAAAGGAGGAAGGTGGGGAAAGAACAGAAGGCCAATGCATCTTTGCCTTTCTTCATCTTCTACTAAAAATAAGCTATGAAATAAGCCACTTAGGGGAAGAAAAAAGAGAAAGACACCCTGCTGTTCTTTGTCTGTTTTCCTCTCCCTCTCCACCCCCACACCCCGACTCCTAAATGCGGTAATCATTCTAGATGCCACAACTACTAAATGAACAAAAGGCACTGTATAGAAAAGGCATCAGGTCAAGTTAGGCCTCACCCTTTATCGTCAATCTTCTAAAAAATATGTATGTATATAATTCGAGACTCTGACATTGATCAAAAACAGCTGGAATTCTCTACCTCCATCCCAATTAAACATTAGGCAGAAAATTGCATTAGGTTGACAGTAACTCTCAATTCAGGGTAAAAATAACTCAGATTCTGCCACCATGTCATTTCCTAGTTTCTAAACAAAAATAAAACCCGAAACTGCTTTGTGTAAAATGTACACACAGCCATAGCTACAAGTTTTCCTGCAACCTTATGAAAATCCAATATTACTGGTATCACTCACACATTTACAAAACTCAATCACAGTCACAAACAGCTCATAGTCAATTTCGCTTGTGCCTAGACATGTATTTGGAACATGTATTTCATTATTTGCTCCTCTCTGTAATCCCCCCTTCCACCTCCCAAAAATTGTAAAGTTCAAACCCTAAAACTTAAGAAGTCTATCTACTGTTCCTAATTTCTAGCTAAGTTTTCCTGAGGAGAAAAGCACCTTATTCCTGAAAAGGTTATGGGAAAAAAAAAAAAAATCTCTTGCCCAGGCAACTTCCGACCCATCCCCCACTTCCAAACCAAATACAAACACTACTTTTTTTAAAACTTCGGAGAATTCCATAACTGAGTATTTAACAATAATCATCAATCTCTAAAAAGGAGAAAAACCGCCCAATCAAAAAGAGTAACAAATAAATGGAAGAAAGAAGGAATTCACCTGAAGAATCTAGCCAAACAACTTGAGTTATATAAACAAAACCCTGCAACAGGGGGAAATGGTGGGGGGATGGGGGTGAGGGAGAAAGAGAAGCAGGAGACAGGACTTTTTAACTGCGTTTCACACACCACCACTCCCCATCCCCGTTTCCCCTTCTCCCCAGGGATTAGTTGTTCAGAACACTGGGCTCATTTCCTCTCCCCCCCAACCCTCTAAATTACCCCTCAAAAATTTTCTAGATTTGTCACAGGAACCTTCGCGAATTTCTCTAGCTGGTCATGAAATAATCAGTCTGGACTCCAACCAAAACCACTGCCTGAAGGCCCCTTATCAGTTACAGCTTTCCCAAGGCTACCTCCAGAGTACATAAAGTTGGGGGGGGTGGAAATAAAGGGTGTCACTTGGTAAAATCAGGGCAGTTATTCCCCCAAGAACCTTACCCTCATAGAGGGAGTTTGCTTAAGTGGCTAGTACAGGGGCTATTTTGTCAAGGAGAGATCCTCTGTCTCTCCCTCCCCCAGCTGTCATATCCACAATATGGAGGGTGGCTTGCTGGAGGGCCTGGGGGTCCTCATCACATCCAACTATGGGTGGGACAGGCTTTGTCACTGAAAAGAAAAACGGTGGGGTTCTTCTAGGGACCAGAAAGCTTAACAAGGGTCTCCGATTTAAAACACTCAGAGCTCTTTATTACAACAGGGGGCACTGAGCAGACTACTCTTCCTAATATAGAAAGGAATTAGGGATAAAGGAGGTCACTTGAGTTACCCCAGTTCAAGAAGCATAGTGAATGTAGGGAATGGAGGCATCTCAAGAAAGGAAGAAAGGCTTCACTCTCGGGAATTTCTATCACGAGTCCCTAAATCCAGGGCGAGCAAACAGGAGAGACCCTGAGGTGGGCACGGCGGTCAAGAGAGGTGGATGGTCCTGCAAAAAAAAAAATTAAAAAAAAAAGGCCGTCTTGGGAATCCAAAACGTCGTGGAGGAAAGTCACGGGCAATGGGGGTGCAGAAGAGCGAGGAACAACGCACATTTCGAGGTGCTGTAGATAAAGGGGGGAGCTGAAAAGGCTCTTGGCTCCTGGGAGGTGCCAAGGAGCCGCCGTAGGCACTGGGGGGAGGGAGTAGAGGAAGGGAGCCTCGGACAGTGGCCTGGAGTGCCCCAGGGCCCCTGCTTGGGTTTCAGGGGTGCCCTGGGCATCCCCACACCGCCCCCACTCGACAGCCCGAATCCCCCCTCCACGAAGGATACAGCTTGACCACGTCCGTGTCCATCCGCCTCTTGCCCGGACTAGGGGATGACATGATGTCGCCGCTGCCTCCCCGTCGCCTGCGCCGCCGCCTCTCTCCTTTCCTCGGCCCGTCTATCACGGGCCCCGGGCCCCGGCTCTGAGGAGCCCGCGGCCGCGCCGGCTTCTCGGTGGAGGTGGCAACACCCCCGCGGTCCTGTCCGGTCCCGTCAGCCGCCGCCGCCGCCGCCGCCCCCCGCACGGGGGAACACCGGGCACTGTCCGGCCGAGTGGGGGTGGGGACCCCGCGGCGCCCGGCTCGGGCTGCCCCTCTCCGGCTGTGGGTTCCTCGGCGGCCTGGCCCCGGCGCTACTCTGCGCCGCGCGTCGCTCCCTCCTGCCTGCTCTAGCTCGCTCGTCTGCTCGCCCGCTCACCCTCTCGCCGGCTCCCTAGCAGCCTCCACGACAAGCGGACGACTCCTGCTCAGTCGGCCTCTCTACCCCAGCCTCGCTCTGGGCGCCGTGACGTCACCTCTGTGACGTCATCGGCGGGGCGGGCCCAGCTGGCGAAAGGGGTGGGGCGCCGCCGCCGCGGCGTGGACTTTCCCGGGGGGTTCTGGGAGATGTAGTTCCTTTTTCTCTTGCCCTCACAGCCCTGTGCCCCCTCCCCCAACTCCCCCACACACTTAATCGCTTAACTGCCAGTGTCGTTATCATCATCATAAACGATAATAGTAAATAATGGCAATATTATGACATTTGTGTGTTTTAGGGTAATGAACCTCCTTCTCATATACACTGTTAAAAATGCTGTTCATTTGATTTGAGGTGGCAATTACTAGGATAGGCACCAAATCTGGAAATTCCCACACCAGCAGGTTCCCTGCATCCTGCCCCATCCTTGGATGGAGAGAATCTGTTTCCAGCGATTGTAGACTACAGCAAGGCTTCCCCAGAGCTTGCAAACCAGGGTTCATTACCCTCGATGTAGAGCGGGCCACTCTTTCAGGGATTAGACTTGAGGCAGCAAGTTGGAAAGACCAGAAATAATTTGGTACTAGCATCCTTATCCCACAGAGTATGAGGTAATTTCAAAAAGTGAATGACTGATAGAAGCAGAAACACCCAAAATATGCTGTCGTTCAAAGGACAAAGATTGTTCTGCCCTCCACACTCCTGTACCAATGCTATATACTCCATCATTAATTCCGTAAATAATTATTGAGCGCCTACTGTGTGCAAATCACTCTGCTGGACATGAGGCTATGGTGAACTAAGAAAGACTTTAAATTTACACAGCCCTCCCAATTTGGTCTGTGGATATAGAGTGTCAGCATCACCTGAGAACTTGTTAGAAATGCAGGTTAGAGCTTCACCACAGCCCTATTGCATCAGAATTTGCAGTTTAACAAGGTCCCCAGGTGGTTCTTATGTGAAGTTTGAGAGTCACTGCTCTACAAAGCACCCCATAAGGAGTGGTATAGGACCCAGGAGTCAACCAGGCAAAGGGGGCAGGAAAGAGTTATCTAGGCATCTCCTGATGTTTATATCACATTTTTGCTGCCAAAATTTTTATCTATTCCCTCTTTCCTATGAATACACTTGTACTTTGTCAGACCGTGTGCTGTGAGATGGGCCCCCTTATATAACCTCCCATAGACACACACACACACACACACACATCTGGGGCAGCAGCAATCAACTAAAATTGAGCATTCTTTACTCCTATCATTCCATCCCCCCAAAGGACTAGTTAATTGTGTGTGTGATTAATATACATAAAATAAAATTTGCCATTTCAATGACTTTAAGTGCACAATTCACTGTATTAAATACATTCACAATGTTGTACAACCATCACTACCCTCCATTTCCAGAACTTTTTCATCATCCCAAGCAGAAACTCCATACCCGTTAGACAATAATTCCTCATTCATTCTCCACTCCCGCCCCCCAAGTCCCTGATAACCTTTACTCCACTTTCTGAGGACAGACTATTTTAACTGCTTCTAAAAGAGGTACATTGGTCTTTCCTATTGCACATAGCAATTCTGTCAGAAGGAGGACTTGAGGAGATTTCTAACCCCTTTTATGTGACTACTTTGTTAAAGAGAGATAAGGATGGAGCAGAAAATCCTTCCTGACTGTCTCCTCTAGGCTCTCCAGGCTCCTATTGTTACTACTTCCTCTCCCAGCACAGCTCCTCACTCTCCTTCACCTGAGTAACCCACATTCACGTGCGAAGACAGTGATTCTCAACCTTTGGTGTACTTCAGAATCATCTGGGGAGCTTGTTAAGCTCACAAATGTCCAGGCCCTGCCGCTGGGGATTTTAATTCAGAAGGTCTGGGGTGAGCCTTGGACATCCATGTCTTTTAACAAGTTCCCCAGATGATTCTGATGCAGGCCATAGTTTGAGAACCATTGTTTGAAGATTCCAATAGACATCAGCACTTTCCAAACATCTGCCTGAGCTCTCCAGGTGAGTCCTGTGCTTCCATAATAGCCTATGCAAATAAGGATGTTTCCTCCCAACCTGAGAGCAAGGTGGCCAGCTCAGAGGACCCAAAGATGTTTTTTCCAGAACAGAAAGAACAAGTCAAGGATGGGACTCTTGAGAAAAAAAGGGCATGGGGTGGATCTAGAAATTACCTCTGGTGGGCTTTAATTTTTACAGATGCCATGCCGCTGTGACCTAAGCACTAAGCAAAAATTTCAGAGAGGTGTCTAGAGAAACTTGTTCCAGACAACAAGAAGACGGGGCTGCTCTACCTAGAAATGCAATGGAGATTTAGCCCTCTGAGAAGTCACTGAAAAGCAATCACCTAGAGAAGAGTTATTGTCTAGTAAGTATCTTAGCTCTGGGTTACTCAGGACAAACCTGCCTTTCCCTAGCCCTTAATTATGCCTCAGCTAATTGCAGATAGCCTCCCAGAGCCTCAGTGTTCTCATCTGTAAAATGGGGCCCATAATGCCCTACCCACTTGAGTGGGTTGATGGAATAAATGGAAAGGATGAATGTGAAAGCCCCTTGTAAATTATAAATTGCTTTTCATAAAGGTAACATGAAGTGTTGATTACAAGATGAAATAAATATATTATTGGTTGTGGTATTATTATATTATTAATCTCAAACCCCCATTTGCCCCACTCCTTATGCACTATCATTGAAGGAGAACAGCCTTCCGGTAGGGTTTTTATGTTTGTTTTTTTTTTTAAGATGTCATAGTGTCAATTCTTTCTCTTTGTGTGTTCACACTTTTATGACACGCCTTTTCTCTCTGGGCGCTTTGCCATTTGCTCCTTCGTAAATCCATTTCCTCTATTCTGACTTTGTCCCCTTTCCTCCATTGCAACCCCTCCCCTCAACTCTCCAGAGCCTCAGGAGACTCCTGAATCTGTCCTTGACCAGGTAGGTTCAAAAGGTGGCCCCAAAGTGGTGCCAAATGACAGCGTTTGTTTGACTCAGTTTTTTGGCTTACAAAACCTGGAGTTCCTCTTGAACAATGTAAGCATGTGCTCACCTTTTCCTTTACTTTTTTTCTTTTTCTTTTTTATTTGCATTCACCTTTTTTATGCAATGTTTTAGCCATTCAGAATGTCAATAATTTACTCTAAGACAACACTGGGACCTGGGAGTGTCTGTTTATATGTATGCACACACATGGCAATGTGCTGGAATGAACCATGTTTTTCCTTATCAGGTACAAGCAGGGTACCGTGAAGGAACAGCTGTCCACCCTGCCTGAGTCACCAGTGTTGCAATCTGGGAAATGTATTTGGGCCTGTTTATCTCTCCCCAGGGCAGGGCCAAGCTTGACCAATGGAGCCTCCGATCTCAGGAGCTGCTTCCCAAAGGCAAGCAAACAAGTTTGGAGAGAATATAATGCTTTGAGCAATACACTAAGAGGGAACAAGAGGAAAGCCATCATTTGATGGAGTGAGTGGAGGACCCAGCCCACACAGCCTAAAAACGGCTCTCTCTCACTCTCGCTGAAGGCACCTGTTAACACAAGAGCTCTAAAGCCAAAGTGAATTTATCACTGTGCCCAGCAAATGTGAAGATCCCTCAAATAAAGCCTCCTGATTCCATTTGACCATTTCTATTGGGAAATGGGTTCATTTTGAGCGGGTACTCTCAGCATCTGAGATCACAGGTCCAGACCCCTCTAGACAGCAAAATAACAGCCGTTCCCTTGCTGCTTTGGAAATAAAACCTTAAAAATCACTTCAAGGGCCACCTGGCTGGCTCAGTCTCTTGATCTCAGGATTGTGAGTTCGAGCCCCACACTGGGTGTAGAGATAACTTAAAAAGAAAGAAGGAAAGAAATGTAATCATTTCAAGCCATCTCCGTGTAACCCTGTTACAATTTGTCCCCACAGAAGCAGTCAGGGGGAGCTCAGGCACACGCAGGTCAGACAGCAGCAAGGACAGAAAGATTTCATCTCCTGCACAGGTTGTTTTGCTTGCTACCTGTGGCAACGGGCTCCTTGGACAAACAGCAATCCCCCAAAAGCGGCATGATTCAGAGAGAGCATAGAACTTAGGGACAGACAAACCCTTCCAGTCCCAGGCCTGCTGCCTATTATTGATATCATTTGGGCAAGTAACCTAACCTCTGCGCTTCAGTTTACTCATCTGTAAAATGGGACGAGAATCTGGCACTACCCTTGCCGAGAGCAAATGGAAGAGATGTTCCATCCTCTAAAGTGCCAGTCATATATAAAATATTATCACGCCCCCCCATACACATGCACGCACGCACGCACACCCCAATGCCAAGGCTCAAGGAGGGAGCAAGAATCAAACTATTGACAGCTCCATCCAGGGAACCTGGGCCAGCCGCCCTGTGGGGAGCCTTTGTTTTGCCACCTGTAGCCTCCTGTGCTTCCTTTGCTGCTTCCGTATCTCCCTGATCGGGAAATGCTGGAGGCCCCAGACTCAGCCCTCTCAGGCTCTGTTCTTCTTTATCTGCTTTTAATCCCTGGGTGACCTCATCCCGTCTCAGCTTAAATTGCCATGCATACTCTGACTCCCCAATGTACATTTCTCATTGGAGCCTTGCCCCTGAACTCCAGACACATACATACAGTTACCTCTTCGACATCTCCTGATGTCCCAAAATAAACTTCTGACACCATCCCCACCTCTTCCTCATATAGTTTTCCCCAGTCAGGAAATGGCAGCTATTAAATTGAAATATAAGAAACTGCCATTTCTAAAGTTAAGGACAGTCAAATATTGGCCACTTCGGTTCGACCTAATACATCCTGCCAGTTGCTCAGGTCAGAGTTGGGGCTACCATTCTCGACCCCTCTCTTTCTCTAACACCCTACATCCAAACTATCAGGAAATTCTGTTGGCTCTACTATGAAGTATATCCAGAATCTTTTTCCCACCATCTCTACCAAGTCATCATCATTACTATAATCGTTTCCCAGCCGACCTCCTCTCTTCAACCCCCGAATTCATTTATACAGAAGCAAGTGATCCTTTTAAACCATGAATCAAATC